CCACATCGGGCTCCCTGCTCAGCGGGAAGCCTGCTTCTCCCTCTCCCACTCCCCCTGCTTGTGTTCCCTCTCTCGCTGTGTCTCTCTCAGTCAAATAAATAAATAAAATCTTTAAAAAAAAAAAAAGGCAGCAAAAATAAACTCTGTTGAATTTAAGTAAAAAGTAGATCTAAAAACCAATTAGGTAGCTCATAGCATTTCCGGGAAGACTGCGTGATCAAGCCCAGAAAGGGGGGAGGTCCACACATAGAAAAAAAGCCAAAATCTTGACTGCACTCGGTTGGTTGGGCATCTGCCTTCAGCTCAGGTCATGATCCCAGGGTCCTGGGATCGAGCCCACATCAGGCTCCTTGCTCAGCGGGGAGTCTGCCTCTCCCTCTCCCTCTGCTTGCCACTCCCCCTGCTTGTGTGCACTCTCTCTCTGTCTCTTTTTTATTTATTTGACAGAGAGAGGGAGAGCTGCAGGCAGAGGGAGAAGCAGGCTCCCCGCTGAGCAAGGAGCCCAATATGGGACTCGATTCCAGGACCCTGGGATCATGACCTGACCCGAAGCCAGATACTTAACCGACTGAGCAACCCAGGTGTCCCTAAATAAAAAATTAAAAAAAAAAAACTTTTCCCATAGGAGTCCTATATATAGAGTGTGTGTAATGCAGAAACCACCCGTGTGCTCTGTGGAAGTGGGTTTACAAATCCATTATTTTCATGACCTCACTCCTTAGTCACATTTTTCTCTCTAATGGATGTAGCTTGCCTCAGGTGTCTATTTTGGTTTTTCTGGTGCCTCTCCAGCTGGTCAACTTGGCAGACTTCCAGAAAGAAGAAGAATAAACCATTCCCTGTGAATATACCTTTTGTTAGAAGCAGACCTCTGATAAGGTTGACTTATTTTCTTTTAGGTCTAGATACCAGTCAGAAAGAAATTCAAATTACATGTCTCCTATACTCTGAGCTTGAGGGAAAGAAAGCACAAATTGCTCTGACAGAAATTGGAACAAGAAAGTAATGATAAGTATCAGTGACTTTGATTAAGAAAAATACCTCAAAATGGAGGAGAGAAGGTGAAAATAGGTTTAGAGAGCCGTGAGTAGGGTAAAGGGATTTTGAAAAGGTAGTAGATCCAGGATTTAGAGGAAGGGGACTCAAATAGAAGAGCCTTTCAGGAAGGCTGAAAATGGGGTGCCTGGGTGGCTCAGTCGATTAGGCATCCGACTCTTGGTTTCAGCTCAGGGCATGATCTCAGGGTCATGAGATCGAGCCCCATGTCAGGCTCCACACTGAGCATGGAGCCTACTTGGGATTCTCTCCCTCTCCCTCTGCCCCGCCCCGACATGCTCATGCGCGCATGCGTGCTCGCTCTCTCTTGCTCTCTCGCTCTCTTAAAAAAAAAAAAGGAAGGCTGAAAACAACTGAGGTGACCAAGAGAATAAGTAGAAGGATGAGGCAGATTGTAGTCCAGTTCCTTACCACTTCATTCCAAGATCACCATGAGACAGCTCACAAAACTAACAATTTGGAGTTAGCAAAAAAAAAGTCATGTCCTTAAGGAAGATATCTCTCAGCTTTTAAAGACGTCCAGCCCTCATGCACCCACTGGGGTCTTACTCATCATCTCCATCTGTCCGTTTCTTATTTACCTGTATAACTCGAACTTGGAATTTCTCTATGATCTGGAGTCCTCTCTTCTCCAAACAGGTGATCACATCTGGTTTGGTAACAGGATACCCTGTAATGGAAATGATAGATGACTTAGGCACATCCGTGTGGGTTTCACGGTCTCAAGGTAATTAGGAAGTTACATTTTAATAAGTATAAATTTCACACAAGAGATGAAAATACAAACACCTTAT